TTGGCAACCATATCTTTCACATTGGGAACAATTGAAATAAGTGGATCGACAGCTGATTCAATTGAAACAGTTTGCACAGCTTCGAATTCTTCAATTGGCCTCCACATATTTAATGATGGAGCAAAATATTCAATAAATCGAAGGGCATGCTGTGGGATCATGCTTCTTAAGAAATTTTCAAACGTTGCGAGATCAAAAATTTCGAGCTGAAACATTTCGATGAAATTGTGCAATTGCTGAAGAATTGTGTGATTCCTACAAGAATGTCAAGAAAAATATAAATTAATATTCACTTTCTATTATAGATGAATATAATTCTAAAGAATAATTTTCAGAAACAAAACAAAATGACATTCTACAATACTTTTCTATTGAAACAAACTAAATTAATGCAAAATATTTTATGAAAATGATGATTTGCTTTAGATTTCAAAACATATTTTTATTACTAATATAAGATGGAAATGTAAATAATAACTACATAAGCTTCGTTATTTCTACCCGTTTTATTTATATACGTACGAGAGAAGAAAAAGCTGACGAAAGGAATAATGATACGTAGTTTTTTGCATCTAAATATAACCGATGATTGTATGTGTAAATTTTCTAGTGTTATGGCGACATCACAGATATATTCTATATACCCTGTAAACTACAGTAATATTCGAATAAACCATCATTGGTAACTTTTACATTTCATCGATTAAAATAATCAATCATGGTTGGTAGAGTATTGATAATTTTGTTTTCATACAGAAAATGTAAACAAATACTGCCTTAAAATAACTTTGTTCAGTTCATCAAAGCAGAGCTGAGCAAAATACTCGAAATGCTCGTACTTGTAAAGGATGATTTATAAGCTTTGAGCTTTCTCAGAAAATTTGCTCGGTCTTTCTTATAATAAATCCAAAAACGCTCAAACTTTAGCATCTGATCCTTCATGACCAGGCAGATATTACTTTAAAATTTCAAATATCTATCTCTAGAAATAAGGGAGATATAAAGGCTAGCATTTTGAAATTTTTTTCCATGACCCAAAAATGAAAAATACCAAGGATGTATATGAAAGCGTGGAGAAAAAAGTACAAAGAACAGCATCAAAATAAATATATGTATATTCGAAGAATGGTGTTCGACAAAATTACATTCGAGTGTCAGTCGAATATGTATAGCAAATCTCCAAAATTGTCTTCAATATCTCATCTAAAAAAACAAGCCTAGAAATCCGATTAAAATCGATTTTCGAGAAAATTCGTGAAATATTGATTACAAGTGATAAATTCTGATTGAATTCGAGTCGCGAATCGATTAAAACTATGTCTGGTTTTACACTAAATCCATTTAATTGTGCTGCCTTTGTATTCAAATTCTGAAGAATTTATCAAAATATCTATGCAGATGAAATCTTTTTAAAATGCAAGAGAAACATCAAATAAAGTTGGTAATGATTTTTCAACTTGATATAAAGATTCATATTAATTTTTCAAATATGTTTTAATTTTTTGCTAAATGAATTGTGGTAGTTAGTTTAGGAAGAGTGACAATGTGTGGGAAAACGAAACTAAAAGCTAGTGTTTGTTGATGATGGATAATACACACATTTTTCGATAAAATCAGCTATTTCGACGAGACATGTTTCTTTTGTTGTACTGTCGCCCTATCTGATATGCTGATAATGATATTCGCTATTGTTAGAAAAAAAACAGTGCAGAGAAGTCGCTCGTTTTTTTTTTAGATAATCTATTAATAATAATGGTTGGCTGTTGTTGACAGAGAAAATAAAACAGATACGTCCAAACGTATTCATAATATTGCGACGGAAGATAATATTGCTGTCATCTGCTATTTTTTCTTGTGTGTATTGTGCTGTTGATAATTGTGTATATCTAATGTATAATGCGTCAAACTGCTTGATTGTAGCCTGAGGAAATAAAATTGATGCCAGTGGATGCTGTTGTTATGTCTCGTGCATCAAATGGATGTCGAAATCAGGGTCACCGCTTAAGTAACCGAGATGTAATCAGAGAAACTATGCCAAATTGTGACTTAATAACGATGCATTCACGTAGACCATGGCAGCTTGCAATAGACTAACCGGAGAAACTGTGTCTTCTGAATGTCGGCGAGTACTTTTGTTGTACGAGTTATCTGACATGAGTGAAAAGATAAATGTTCAAGTTAAAATTCGGCAGTATGGATGTGGGGTGGGTGTTGTTAGAAAAGAGACTGAAAGCTATATCTGCCCACACCCACACGCACACCCACCCTCACACCCTTATATTTTTGAACTAAGAAATATTTTCAAGTTGTTTTGAAGATTGTTTTGGTTGTATTTTTAGTTTTTTTTTTGTAGGAATTAACATGGAATTTCAAATTATCCAGTGATGTAAATATGGTTTTCACTAAAAAAATCGAGATTTTTAGTATGTCTTGGGTAACCAAATGCTGTGTTGGTATGCGGGTTGTACAATGAGTTCACTGTGTTTAGCTGTTACAAGGTTTATCAAGTTCTTTTTTGTGAAGTGTATT